CAAACCTACACCTCTTTCTGTACTTTATATCTGAGTAAACCCAGTCAACAGGGAACACTCTGGGGAAGAAATTAATTGAGTAATTAAAAATATACAGGCTGCAAAACCTGCATCAGAATCACAATGTCTCCAGACAACAGATACTTAAAGAATGGTTTTTATCTGTGAACTCACTCTGTTTTAATGAACACTCCTGAGTTTGTTCCTTCAAAGTCTTGCAACCGATTTGACAATGTTATTTGCCGACACAGGTCAAAGGAGGCTGCCTCCAAAGAAGAACCCTTTGTCCATATGTTCTTGAAAATGTTCTGGAAGGAAAATCTTCCAAGGAAGTTTTTATTTAGCCAACTAAAATTTTTCTTGGACAATTTCTGATTAGCCCATTATCAGTTTGGGTGAGTTTGATAGCTTGTGGGCATTAAAATAACCAACTCTTTCTTTAATAACCTTTTTTTGTTTCCGTAGGTCTGAGTCACTAGCCCAGATACCATTCCCTGAATTAAATGAAGAATAGTGTCAAATATGAACTTATAAACCTTAAGGCTAAACTGAAAAGTGTTCAAAGTTTTGATGTACCTGGAGAAAGTACTAGGCAAAATGTTACAATAGACTAGAAAACCCATTGCGTATTTTCACCTTCTCATCAGATGTCACTTAGACTTCAAGTTTGAGAAAAACTGGTTCATCCCTCTACAATCACACCTCAAAAGCCGAGACGTCTACCTTTTTATTTCTCCCCGCTCTGTACCTAGAAGTGGCTCTAATGTTCACTGTAAATTTTCTAAGATGTTGACACATAAATGTCTATGAAGTTCACAAACACAAAAATGTCAACCATCGAAGACAAGGCTCTTAATCACCACTGACACCTGTGGCTTGTCCCTCCCCCGGCGTCCCCCTCCCGCCAAGAATGGGAAATCGCTTGGAAATTCTAACCATAGTATCTCCTCTCTAAATTTTTGCATAAAGAGTTCACCATCACTCAGGAAGTGGTGGTGGTGGTAGTGGTGGTGGTGGTGGTGGTGGTGTGTGAGAGAGAGAGAGAGAATATCAAGCAGGTGAGGTTGAAAGCTCAGCTTTCAAGTCTGTTGTGACACCAATGACCAGATATTAGTTGAAAGAAGAAAACTGGATGACCCAGATGCAATTTCGATCTTTGAAAACAAGCTGTTTATATAATCCATGCCAAGCAAGGAGGTGAGAGACTTGGAGATGTGTGCGACATAATGATGTTTATATTGATGTAGATAAAGATTTGTTTAAACCGAAGTTATTAACTCAGCCCTGAGTGTTAGTCCATCACCCAGAGCTCCTTGGGAATCCGGAGGCCCACTCTGCCACCCCCACTCACTGTCTTCCCCTCCCCCACTTTTCAGAAGCCAGAGGATGCCCACTGCATCTTGCACTGTAGTGCAAACGGATCCCCGCAAAGGGAGAGGAAGATAAAATGAATTTAAATTCCAAAGGGGTTCCAGTGCCGGTTTCCTAGTCCCCGAGTCAGCAATGTGTTTGTGAAAATTCAGCCTTTTTGTCTCCCAGTAAAAAGGAGCTAAATCTACATCGGTGGCCCAGTCTCGGGTTGCTATTCTTTGCATTTTCTATTCGAGTGAATGAGAGTGAATGAAGTGGCCGGGACCCTCCATTTGATCTACTCAATTGCATAAAGTGACAGAATTCTAATATATTTGTTTAATGCTCTTCAATGGGCTTTCACTTTTTTTTTGCTTGCAAATGAAGCATCTGTGGGCCAAGTTTCGTCCCCCTTTAACACGGGGGACATATTTCATAACTCAGGCTGTGGTTTGAAGTGATCTTGAGAGGAGTTTTAGACTCAAAAAGTGGAAAATAAAGAAACAGATGTGAAGTTATTGTAGATTCCTAGAGTGGGCTCTGGGGCTATTGTGCCCCCACGGCGGGCGGTCCCGGGGCTGTGCCTTTCATGCTGTAATTGAAACATATTAATTAGATAATTTGTTGTTAGTTTAAAAGAAACAAATGCATCCCCTTTGAGGCTTCACAGCCGGTGGGGTGGGTTGTTTTTGTTTTGCTTTTTGTTTTGTTTTGTTTTGTTTGGGTGTCTCTGTGCATATGTGGCATTTAGGAAGGAAAAAAATGACATTTATGTTAAGAATTTGAGAATAGACCCAGATCCTTTCCGTTTCTTAAATGGATACCTTGTAAAGGGGAGCTGCCATTTGTATAAGTAAAACCCTTCCCTTCCCTCCCCACCTTGCATGAGCTAATGGAAAACCTGTTTGCAGCACTTCATTAGATTCCTGGTCCTCCCCCCCGCCCCCCAGCTTCACCCCTCTCCAGCACCTGGCCACATTTATGCTTCCAAACACTCAATGCTCCTGTCTCTTTCAAAGGCATTGACTCGCTGCTCTAATATTTAAGCCATTCTGAGGATCATTCACCAGCACCTCTTCTGATAGTCTTAGACTTTTCCAAACCCCAACCCAGGCAACAGGACTAATGAGAACTTCTGTAGCTTCTTGCTTGAGAAAGGGCACAAAATTCATCCATTGTGCAGGCCTTTCCCCAAACCACAGAGAAAGCCGTTAAAAAACTCAGTTGAGTGCAGAGTCATGTTAAAAAGCAAAAGTAACAGAATAGCCAAGTTTCCAAAATCAAACACCTACATTAAAATAAAATAAAAAAAAACTATCCTGCCCAAATTTACAAAACAGAAAATAGTATAACTTAACTTGATTCTCAAGTTAAGACCCGGAGCATACACCTCACTGTATGGGGGTGTCTCTCCCAGTTTTATTTTGAAGCTGTGTGTATTGACTTTGGACTTGAGCCAGGTGAAAAGATTTACCATGACAAAGAGAGCCATTGAAGGTATCATGGTTATAAACTTCCTTATTTGTGGGGCACTTCAGCTAAACAGGGTGTAAGTCTCAAAGCTGAGGATAGAGTTGGGGTGGAGGCATGCGTTGTGAGCTGCCTTTGGATTTCTCATCAAGGTCAAGATATCATCAATGGATGCTTTTACTTTACTCATTCAGCTTCCTCTGAGAGGAGATGCTTGCTATTGTGAAAAGAGAGCTCACAATGCCCAAGTTATTTCATTCTTTGCAATACCCCACGACAAACTTACCAGCGGAAAAGGACATTTTCAAGCGCTGAGTTGAAATCACTCCTTGGCTAACACTCAGAAATGTAAGATCTGCATCTTCTCTATTTCCATTTATTAAATGTATGTATGTACATACAACTTAACTCTGAACCCTATTGGCTAGTCTAGGAAGAATATTTTATCTAACTAGCTAAGCTGATAATTTGTAAAATGTTTGAGGCCCATGTCTATATGGTTCCTTCATTCCCATTTTGAATTCAGTGTTAGTAAAATCAATTAAATTATAATATCCCAGAGGTGGCCTTAGTTTCATTTTGTAGGAAATAATGAAACAGTATTTAATTTAAAAAAAAATGCAGATGACTTATTGTTGAGAACAAAGTTTCAAGAATTTCCTAGCCCAGGATGGACAAGTTTTCCAGGCTTTCTTTAGCTGATCTTGTTGATATAATTGTGACTTGGGCTTGATGAATGAGTTTGGTTGTCCCCTGTCTGACGAGCTTTAGTGGCTTCATGCATTTTAATCAGTCCAATGATTCATTTATTTTCTTTTTTTTTTTTCTTGGCTGTGTGTGGGATCCTTCCTTAAAAAAAAAAAATGGTCACAACAGGATTAATTACCCTTTGCATTAATCCTAAATTTTTTTTCAGCTAGCCCTCCAAATACCTAAGGGTTGCAGGTGCCAAAGATTTTCCTTATAGAGCATGATTTCTGTGTGGGTTTCCCTGTGTTGCACAGTCTCTTGTTGAATCATTTTACATAGTAAAGTGTTAATCACCATTTAAGTTTGTCTTTGTCTTGCAACTTCATTAGTTGAATACACCCCTCACTCTGGAAATATTGTGAGTCCTTCAGTAAAGTTTCAATGGTCCTTGAGCCATAAATACTTGACACATTTTAATTCTCTGCAAATATCTGAGGGAAAGGAAATACGGAGAGTGGAGCATTTTGAGTAACTTCATTTACCTCTTCAAAATAAATGCACCAAACGTTATTTTCTCACAGGAAGGAGTAAAAAGCTGTTCAGTTCAAAGTGAACAGCTTTCAACATGTAAGGTGGACTTTCAGGTAACTTCTGAAAAAGAAAATTTCAACAACTGCCATAATTTAAAGGAGCAAGGCAATGACTACTCACTCCAAAATAAGATGTGTCAGGATATAAGCATTGTGTAGGCAAGTCTGTTTTGTATCTCCATCTACCTGATTTCTACATCAGCCTTGCAGTTATATAAGTGCTGGTTATGTTGTGTAAAATGTATATTTTAAGAGACAAAAAGATATATAAAGTACTGTTTTTTCAGTGCAGTCTTTCTCTCAGCACAACTGTGCACCTAATCTACACTGGAAATGGACTGCTTCCTCTCTCCCTCTGCAGCCATTTCTTCAAGAGTCCATCCGAATAACTGTTCTCCCAATCTGTGAATGCCTGAGAACTTCGCCTGTTTTAAAAATAAGATCTGGACAAGGCAAACTACTCAGACAACGCGCTGCAGAAAGCATGCTTAGGGAAGCACTACCTCTATCTTTTGTAAAGTGACTGCAGAAACTTCAGAACCACACAAAACTAAACTTTGAGTTTACATATTTTAATGAGAAAATATTATTTGGACTAGGTTCATAATTTAATGTAGACACCTTCTTTTAAAATTCTCTGTCTTAAAACAGGCATGCTGGGAACAAGAACATCAATATTTAAAATGTCATGCTAATTCTCTACAAGGAGGGAGAAAAATGAAAGATAAAATTGTACAGCTCTGATGACACTACAACTCTTTTTTTTTAAACTTAAGCAGATCACACCAGAACAACAGTTCATTTTCTCAGCAAATTACCTAAGACTCTAAAGGAATATAGCAAACAAAAGTGCATTTTACACAGTGTATAATCATTCCTATTCACAAGCATTTACACCTCCTTGCAGCCCTTAGCTTCTTGGAAAACTTGTAGCAAACAGAAGGACTTGTCCCTGGGAGATCTATCCGGTGGCATTTCCTCCAAGTAACCAGTCAGCTTATCTCAGTTCTTCTAGGGTTGCCCTTGATGCTTTCTTAGTTTGGGCTTACTTCATTTTCTTCCCCCCCCCTTCCCAACAATAAAATAAATAGCTATAAAGGTATCTAAGTAACCGGAAAGTTAACATCCCAATTAACTCTCCCCTCCCCCTCTCCCCTCCCCTAAACCTGGCCAGAAATAAAGAGTAAACATTCACATTACAACAGGTACTTGTAAAATGGGCTTGGCCCCCTCGCCCGCCAAGCAATACAAATTCAAGTCCACTGTTTACACTTTACCGGGCGCTTTGTAAACAATACAAGGTTACATTTAGTTTTGTTTTGCTTGTGTTCAAGACAAGCGTCCCCTCCCCAGCTCGGCAGCCTCTCCCCCTAACTCCCAACGCCCAGAGCCTCGGGCAGGACACAAAACCCAAAGCAAAAAATTCTGCGCAAGCCGAGGAGGCAGGCCCGCTACCCCGGGAAGCTGCGGTCCGCCCAGCCCCTGCCGGATGGGCGGAGGCGAGCGGGGCAGGAAGATGAGCGGTCTCTCTTCGTAGTAGATTTCCAAGACTTGAACAGAGAGATCCGGCCCTCGGATGGGAGGCGGCGGCCCTCAGGGGAGATGTGTTCGAGGACACCTCCGAGCCGTTTTCTCTGGTCTTGGAACAAACTGTGCGGAGGCTCGAGCCCCGCCAGTGCTGGCGGAGGGAAGACGCGCTCCTCTCGGTGAAGGCGGGAGGCAGGATTTCCCCTGCCTCTTACACGGGAGGGTTTCCAGGGCCCCGGGGATGGGACAGCGAGGCTCAGGTGCCCCTGCCTTCCCCTCTTGTGAGGACGAGAACAACTCCCACGCGCCTCCAGGCCCCTCCGCAAGTTTGTGTTTTGTCTCCGGGTCCAAAACAAAGTTCTCGCGGGGGAGAGACGGTTGGCTGAAAGTGAGTTGACTCGGTAGGGCGGCGGCCCCGTGTCCGGGTGGGCAGGACGAGGAGCCAGGTACTGCGAGGGCGCTAGCGGGATGGAGAACCCGAGGGGGCGCCGGCGCCGCGGGGTCAGTGCACCGCCACCGAGTGCAAGGCCGAGGCGGGGCTGGTGAGCGTCTCGCTGGGAGTGGCGGGGCTGCTTTGGCTGGTGGCTGTCTGCGAGGACGTGGGGCTGAGGGAGGGGGGCGAGTTCGAGAGCAAGGCGGGGATGGGCGCGGGGAGAGCGGGCAGCG